TGTGCCCTTGAGAAGAATGTATCTTTTGCTGTTGTCTGATAGAATGTTCTGTATGTGTCTGTTAGGTCCATTTGGTCTATAGTGTTGTTCAAATCCACTGTTTCCTTATTTATTCTCTGTCTGGATGATCTATCCATTGTTGAGTTTAGGGTATTAAAGTCTCCAGCTATTTTTGTGTTGCTGTTTATTTCTTCTGTTAGCTCTGTTTTTGCTTTATATATTTAGGTCCTCTGATTTTGGGTACATGAATATTTACAATTGCTATATCTTCTTGATGGATTGACCTTTTTTCATTATATAATGACCTTTGTATCTTTTGCCATTTTTTTTTTTTTGGTATTTTATTTTTTCAGTTTCTTTTTTTTTTAATTTGTTTTTTTATTGATGTTTTAATAGTTTTTAACATTGTGAAATTTTGGATTGTACATTTTTGTTTGTCCATCACCATATATATGTCTCCCTTCACCCCTTGTGTCCACCCCCACCCCCATTGCCCCTGGTAACCACAATACAGTTTTCTCTGTCCATGTGTTGATTTATATTCCACATATGAGTGAGATCATACAGTGTTTGTCTTTCTCTTTCTGGCTTACTTCACTTAACATAATACCCTCCAGGCCCATCCATGTTGTTGCAAATGGGACGATTTTGTCTTTTTTTTATGGCTGAATAGTATTCCATTGTATATATTTACCACATTTTCTTGATCCAGTCATCAGTTGAGGGACACTTAGTTTGCTTCCACTTCTTGGCTATAGTGAATAATGCTGCAATGAACATAGGGGTGCGTAAGCCTCTTTGGATTGTTGATTTCAGGTTCGTTGGATAGATTCCCAGTAGTGGGATAGCTGGATCATAGGGCATCTCTATTTTTAATTCTCTGAGGAATCTCCATACCGTTTTCCATAGAGGCTGCACCAGTTTGCATTCCCACCAGCTGTGTATGAGGGTTCCTGTTTCTCCACATCCTCTCCAACATTTGTTGTTTTTTGTCTTGGTGATTATAGCCATTGTAATGGGCGTGAGGTGATATCTTAGTGTTGTTTTGATTTGCATTTCCCTGATGATTAATGATGTTGAACATCTTTTCATGTGTCTATTGGCCATCTGTATATCTTCTTTGGAAAAGTGTCTGTTCATTTCCTCTGCCCATTTTTTGATCAGGTTGTTTGTTTTTTTGTTGTTCAGTTGTGTGAGTTCTTTATATATTATGGAAATCAACCCCTTGTCAGATGTATGTTTTGCAAATATTCTCTCCCAGCTGGTGGGTTGTCTGTTCATCTTGATTCTGGTTTCGTTTGTCTTTTACCATTTTTAAAGTCTGTTTTATCTGATATAAGTACAGCAACCCCTGCTTTTTTGGAAGGGTGGGGTACCATTTGCTTGAAATATCTTTTTCCATCCCTCCACTCTCAGTCTATGTGTGTCTTTAAGGCTAACGTGAGTCTCTTGTAGGAAGCATATTGTTGGGTCTTGTTTTTTTTAATCCATTTGGCGATTCTGTGTCTTTTGATTGGAGAATTTAATCCATTTATGTTTAAAGTAATTGTTGATAGGTAAAAACTTACTATTGCCATTTTATTAATTGTTTCATGGTTGTTTTGTAGATCCATTGTTTCTTGTTTCTTATCCTGCTGTCTTTCCTTGTGTTTTGATGACTTCTGGTTTGATGTTTTGACTTCTTCATCATGGTTTTTTTTGTGTAATTAGTACAGGTTTTTCCCTTTTGGTTACCATGAGGCTTACATAAAATATCTTAAAATTATAACACCCAATGTTAAACAGATAACAGTTTAACTTTGATAGCATTCCTAAACTTTACACTTTTACTTGTGTCTCTCTCGCATTTTAGGTTATTAATGTTACAGTTTATATATTTTTATATTGTGTATTCAATAACAGATTATTGTAGTTACGGTTATTTTTACATTTGTTTTTTAGCTCTTAAACTAGAATTGTAAGTGAATTACACACCACCATTACCATATTACAGAATCTAATTTTAAATATATGTTTACCATTACCAGTAAGTTTTATGCTACCTTCTTATGTTTTTATGATGTTAAACAGCGTCCTTTTACTTCCACTCAAAGAACTCGCTTTAGCATTTCTTGCAAGGCAGGTCTAGTGGTGATGAACTCCCTCAGCTCTTGTTCATTTGGGAAAGTCTTTATCTCTTCTTAATTTCTGAAGGACAACCTTTGCTAGGTATAGAATTCTTGGTTGACAGTTCTTTCTTACAGTATTTTGAACATATCATCCCATTTTCTCCTGTCCTGAAAAGTTTCTATTGAGAAATCTACTGATAGTCTTAAGGGAGTTCCCGTGTATGTTACTTGTCTTTTTTCTCTTGCTGCTTTCAAAATTCTTTTTTTGTCTTTGACTTTTGACAATTTAATTATAATGTGTCTCAGTGTAGCCGTATTTGAGTTCAACCTATTTGGGGTCCTTTGGGCCTTATGGATCTGAATATCCATTTCTTTTCCCAGGTTTGGGAAGTTTGCAGCCATTATTGCTTTAAATATACTTTCTATCCCTTTCTCTTTCTCTTCTTCTGGAATTCCCATAATGCAAATATTGTTTCTTTTGATTGTGTCCCATAAATCCTGTAGGCTTTTTTCACTCTTTTTAATTCTTTTTCTTTTTGCTCCTCTGGCTAGATAATTTCAAATGTCCTGTCTTCTAGGTCACTGAATCTTCTGCATGGTTAAGTCTGTTTTTGAAGCTCTCTATTGAATTCTTCAGTAATTACATTTTTCAGCTCTAGGATTTGTTTGTTTGTTTGTTTTAATGGTTTCTATTTCTTTGTTGAACTTCTCATTTTGTTCATGTATTGTTTTCCTAATTTCATTTAGTTGTCTTTCTGTGTGTTCTTGTAGTTCACTAAACTTCTTTAAGAGGATTATTCTGAACTCTTGGACAGTTCATAGATCTCCATTTCTTGAGGATCAATTATCAGAGCTTTTTCGGTTTCCTTTGGTGGTATCATGTTTACCTGATTCTTTGTGATCCTTGATTCCTTACATTGGTATCTGTGCATTTGAGTAAGCAGTCTCCTCTTCCAGGTTCACTTTGGCAGAGACAGTTCTTCATCAGTTAGCTCACTTTGGGTTTCTGGACATGTCTGCTGGTAATGTTCTTGGGCAGATGGGGCCTACTTTCTATTTTTGGGCAAGGCCACTGCCCAAGTTCTGAGGTCAGGGTAGGGGGGTTTGCTGTTGGCTGAGAATAGCTCATTCTTTGGGGACCCAAATCAGGCAAGACTGTGCACTCAATTCCCTGGCCAGATGTAGCCACGGGTTTTGCTCTGCAGACGAGGAAAGCCATGGGCTGTGCTCTCTGTTCAAGCACCACTGTAAAAAGGACTATTGGATGGGCTACGCAGCTTCCTGTATGCTCTGGTAAGGTTCCCTGGTCAGATGGGCTGAAGGCTGTATTCAGCAATGGCCAGGGCTCCAATTACTTTCCCTGCCCAGGCAGAGTAGGAGAATTGGCTCCAAGGGCAGCAAGGCTGTTTGTTTGTGATCTTGATTCAAGACTACCTACTCCCCAAGTTCCCTGGCTGAATGGTGCTACTGGGTTGGCATTGTGAATAATCAGCTCTGCCTGCCATACTCTCTGCTCAAGTGTTGTTGGGTTATGCAGTTTCCAGGTGGCCTGGCCAGCCTTTTTGGTCAGGCAGGGGTGAGGAGCTACACTCAGCAGTGGGCTGGACTATGACTCAGCTCACCTGCCTGGGTGGGGTAAGACTAGGCTCCAGGGCTGGCAAGGCTCTTCATTTAAGGACCCAAATTAGACAGACCTGCATGCTGCTGAGTTCCCTGGTCAGACTGTACCACTGTCTTGGCTCTGTCTGCAGGTGAGCAGAGCCACTGGTTGGGACTACTACTTGGACGCTGCAGGTAGGAACTCGGTCTGCCAAGATCTGCTTGCTGGTTGTTGCAAGCCCCTCCCACCTTCTCCATCACAGTTTCCTAGTGGTTAATTCCCACAGATTTCCCTGAAATCCCTGAGGGGCGAGACTGCAGTTGGGGTTCCCAAGAAGCAACCTACGATGCTGGGGGAGCTGGATGTCTACTCTGGGCCCTTTTCCCACTGGAGAAGCTGTACGCTCAGGGTAGACCTCTTGCTGTGGTGCTGCACTGGCCTGGGGGAGGGGCAATGCTGTCAGCACACAGCTGCTCCTCTTTCCCTTCTAATGAGGGCTGTCTTGGTCTCTGTGGTGCAGGAGCGGTGCTTCAGCCTGACCCCCATGTTCTAGGATTTTCTCAGTGGTGTCTTGTGCATTATTAGTTGTTAGTTGTTCTTGTGAGGAGGAGCGAAGTCAGAAATGACCTACGTTGCCATCTTGGTGACATCACCTCTACTCAGCCTTTTTCTCAGTTATCTTTATCATAACATTTGCCTCACAGATTTATTTTCAGGCTTAATCATAGGGAAAGTGCCTGGTGTACAAGACGCCCTAAATAAATGTTGGCTCCTTCCAGTGTAGCTCAGGCTTCCATCCTCCTTCCCTCACCAAATATACAGTGCTTCATACGCACCTTGTTATTGATTTTCCTGCACAAATGCCCACCCCTCTGCTCATGCCAATTCTGCCTAGAATGCCTTTCTCTGCCTGGTAAGCTCCTACTCATCCTTTAAAACCCAGCACAAGTAACAGCCTTGTAAAAGCCTTTCCAAACCACCACAAATTATCAGTCCCACATCTGTCTCATGCTGTCTAGCTCCTTGCTCTCACATAGTACTTCTCACACTGCGTTTATTTGTTTACATATTGGCGTGTCCCACCTTGAGGGCAAGGACTCATCTGATTGACTCAGGAAGTGTTTTATGGAAAAAGAATTCAACATACTGCCACTGAAATTAGGAATGGGAGCTTGAATGGATCTCTCAAGAGTTCAGCAAATACTGTTCCTATAGCTTCTAAGAACCTTAAGGAAATTTGGTTTTCTTAGTACTATGATCTTAAAGCCTCTCCCCTCCTCTGACCCCACCAGTTACCAGCTCAGGAAGCACCTGTCCCACCTTCTGCATATGAAGCAGCTTGGAGCCAGAAATATGGACAGATGGAACCAAGAGTGCATGGCATTGCTCCTCCAGGTTTGGAGGAAGGAACTGCAGCTAAAACCCCCCAAGACCATCGCAGTAAGCAGGACCACCAAGAATCCATCCAAGGGCATCTTGGGCACAAAGTCCACCAGGCACTCAGTGCTCAAGCAGATCTATGGTAACTATCCTTCTGGGCACTTTGTAGTTTACAACAAGGACCCCCAGAGAGTGTCATATCATAATCTGAAATGGGATTTAATTACATTGGGCAAACCTCCACTCAGGTAGGAGCTTTATTATACCTCCAGGCACCAAGAGAATTCTCAGCACCGCATTTAGTGCCTCCCTCCCCGCAATTCTGGGTCAGAATTGGTTTCGTAAGGCATTCTGGCATCAGAAGCAGCTTCTCTGCTGGGCTTCACGACCGAAAGCCTCACCATTGTAATCTCTCCAGGCCGCTGCTTGGGTCTTCCCCTTCCATGATCCATTTGGAGTAATCCAGGCACAGACTGACCCTGCCTGCCTCACTTTGACCTTTCCTATGCTAACACAGTACAGGGCTGCCTATCAGTGGGAATGCCCCAGACCCCAGCACCACGTAAATACATGTTTAGCAGATTGAAACATTTTCAGCTCTGGAAAGAGCCCATCCAAATAAACTGAGCAAGGAACAAGCCTGGCTGGCTCCCCAACAGAAAAAAGTTGAGCCAAGGCACCTTTAGAAACAGATCTGTGATCCAGGCAGGAAAATCTCAGGACTTGACCCTGGGTCTACGTAGTATTTCCACACCATACCTAATTCATCTTGGCAAACACCTGCAGGCTCAAGCCTTCACCTCAATACAGAATTCAGAACTTGGTCAGGCCACAGCTGTCATGGTCAGAGATACATGATCACTGTTGGTTGATTTCAGGTTGTTCTCAAGAAGGGAAAGTACATCATCCCACAAGATCTTCAAAAGCCCATTCTGTGCTGCGTCTCAACTCAGGTAAGGCAGCCATGGCGCTGGCAAAAAACATTAGAACAGAGATGGCCAGGGGTTTCCTCTGGTCATTTGATTTCAGGTGGCCATGTGTTTCATCTCCCTTTCATGGAGTTATTACCGCAGTCAATGTCTGTCTCCGTAAGAGGCAAGTTATTTTCACAACCAAAAGCTATCATTAACATTACCTCCAGTAGAAACAATAAATGGTACCTATTATTGTTCACTTTTACATACCTGTTCACATAAAGGAAGGGGGAAATGGAAATACTGTCATTCTTCGAAGTTATACCTTGGGAGTTCCTGTTCCATTTTGATTTCACATTAAGATCCTCCAGTTCCTTCCTAAAGATGGCAAGTCCCTTAGCCACAAATTCTGGCTTTTGCCTTTTAGGGCCCACTCCATAAAGATGTATATTTAATAGCATGTTCAGCTCAGGCTCAGCTGTGCACACTTTCACTCATACCAAAGCAGCTCAGGGAACTTTCTTTTCAGCCACAAGACAAGTTTTTTATTCATGGCCCCTTCATACACGCCAACATTAAATTTGGGTGATAAGTTCAGTGCTGTCAGCAGTTAATGCCAGGTCCAGTGTTTCTCATGAGTGGCTATGGCAATGTGCTCCCCCACCCTCCCTGATCCAGTCATCCTACAGGAACAGAGTACAGCTGGGAAGGTGAACAATGACTGTCAGCATGAACTTTAACATTCATTTCGTTTTTGATGGGGGGGAAACCTGGAGGTGGCGAGACACAGTAATTACTGCCAAATGTTTGATAAGAGTGGGGTACTTCACGTAATACAGGCAGGCTGATCAGGGAGTGGTGGGTGCGGTAGTTGGAACCTTTCAACGGAATCAGGGCCCATAGTTCTATGTAAAAAAAAAAAAAAAAATTCTCATTATACCTGAGTGAATTGAAGAATAGTTTCAAAAACAGAACTGTCAGATATAACTACAAGAGAAGTAGTATTTAGATAAATAATCAGAGCATTTTTCACTTAGTCCTGGATTTTTCTCTTGTGCAATCAGAAATCTTTAAAAATGAAGGTGTTTAGCAGCATAAAATGTTTTGAGTTCAAGAACCCAGTTAAAGAACAGAATAAACAAATTCAAAGAAATACTTAATGGTTTCTCAGGACTTCATATGAACAGCGTTTTTGTCCTACATGTATACTTCTGACTGGTTTGAAAATGGGCAAGGACTGAAGAGAATCTTTTCCTAAGCCTCAACTTGGGGGAACACAGTGTTTTATTAGGCCCACCCACCCACATTAACCATTATTAAGTGAATAAGGCTGATGGTCAGACAGAGCTGCTAAATGGTTAGCCTGTATGTGTTTTATACAGAAAACTATAAATTTCTATGAAATGGGCACAACTTGGACATACATAGAATTTTCTGCAATGTGGAATCACAGGTGCCAAATTTAACCAAAAAGGAGAAATCATTAATTTTGGTCTTTACCTTGAATAGATATGTTAGTTCATTTTTTGCTTTGAGAATTCCATGGGGTTAAGGATCATCTCATTTTGCTCGCTGTTCTATTTAGCTTTAGGAAATTGTTTGGCACAATGGAGGTGCTCAAATATTCGATGAGTGAAGATTGTTGCTGCCAACCTCCACCTCGGGAAGAGGCTTTAGCAGTGCCTTTACCTCTTAACAGGAGGAGCAGGGAGCCAGCTGGATGTAGCAAAGGAACAGCCTCCTTGGACTGTTTCTCTACACGCATCCGGGAGAAAGTTCAACTATCCCTGCTCTCTTCAGTCCTCTACAGCCCACCCCTGTAAACCACCCACAAAGATGAGCAGCACAGGAACGATCAGAGAGCGTGTAGGTATATATGCTGGAAATATATATATATGCTAGACATATATAAATTTGGGAGCCTATCTCTTTAAAAACAACTCCCTTAAAAAAGTCCATTCCAAGCCATCTCTGATGGCCTAGTGGTTTGAGTTCAGCCCTCTGCTCTCACTGCTTTGGCAGCCTGGGTTCGTTTCCCAGTCACAGAACCACACCCGCCTGTTGGTAGCCATACTGTGGCTGTGGCTCACACAGAAGCACTAGAAAGACTTCCAACTAGAATATACAACCATGCACTGGGGCTTTGGGGAGGGGGGGAAAAAAAAAAGATTGGCCACAGATGTTAGCTCAGGGTGAATCTTTCCCTGCAAAAAGCAAAAAACAAAAAATCCATTCCAATGGAATAACCATAGCTTAAGTGATTACTAGCAATGGTACCCCCTTGTATGAATGCAGAATATTCCTGCCCACCTACAGGATGTGCAGATGACAACTCAGGACTTGATACAGTAAAGGCAGCCAAAAAACATGCCAGAGTTCCAAACAATAGTTCACTTTAAAATAACTTTATTGAAGTAATAGTAATAAAACCAGGAGAGAAAAAGTAAGACATACGTTTGCAACTTTTTAAAACTACTCACCTTTCATGTTTGTGTCTTTGCTACACAATTAGCAACAACATATAGCAAGATGGCCTCAGCAAGGTCTCGCAACCATTCAGGGCCTCAGTGTCCTCATTTGTGAAGTGAGAGGATTGGGTATACCACTAATGTTTTCCAACTGTGGCATCCTATAAGTAAGTTTGTAATTTCAAAGTCATAAAAAGGCCTAAAAAATCCACTTTAAGTTTGATATACCTATCAGTCTATCAATCATCTGAATAGTCTTCAAAGGAATCTATTTTCTAGAATGGACTATATAGCCATGTGTGTGGCACATGGAAAATTAAAAGTTATGTATGTGTATATGTAAGTTTGTGTTGTATTATATCAGAGAGATGCACAGAGAGAAAGATACCATACTAGTTATTCTAGGCAGACTGAAGGCCTAGGTCCCAATTCCAGCTCCACAAGCACCTGCCCCCTCCCAGTTAAGGTTCTTCCTTGATGAGATGTCATGTATCTTTGAGAAGATGGAATATCCAAGGCTGATGAGTCATCCCGTCGCTACAATAAACTGGCCATCACTTTATTTAGCCCCATGCATAGTCCAAACCTAAACCCTTTTTCCTCACCACCAATGAACTCATCCCTTCAGTTTAAAATTAATAACCTGAATATCTATCTGGTATTTGTTTTTAACAGTGAGCAACTTGCAGTGTATACACCTGTTTGAGAACAGTGGAAGATCAAAGAATTTTTCTTATAACCTGCGATCAGCTACTCAGTCAAAAAACAAAACAAAGCTTCGCCTGCCTACGGAGGAAGCCTGTGTCCAGGGGAGCTGGAACAGCTAGTGCAGAGTTCTAATCCTCTGCTGACTATCTTTCTATCTTTTACATCTTGGGAAAACTTTAATATCCACGCCTGCAGCCTTATTAGCCTGAAAACGTGGTAACAACTGAAAGAAAATGTCAGAATGTTTTCTTTCTGCTCTTACACGGTACTGTTTTATAAATTACCTTAGCCTGCGCTGAAGGACCAGGGGTGACTATGCCTGTGCAGAACTGCCCAGTTGTCTGCCTTCACTTCAGTAACTGTGGCTGGAAAGAACTTATAAATTATAACAGTCAAGTCTAAGTAACATGAAGAACTGAGTGCTGAAGGGGCTGCTGGGTTGGGATTTCTGCCAGCCAGCTGGTGCAGGCCTGGTTTTTTGGTTCCAGTGAAGAAGCAGAACGAGAAGGGGAGGAGCCTGTCCTATAGTAGCTGCCTTCTTTCACCACTTTTCCGGAATCTAGGGCAACAAACTTCATTACAGATACCAAATCCTGTTATTCCAACATTATTAGTTTTAAATTTTAGACCAGAATCATGATCCAGCATTTGCTTTTAGAAACTGGAAGACCATAACAGGCATACTGTTGATTCCTTACGTTTACAGTTCCCGTGTTAGCCTCTGAAGGCCACAGGCTGCTGCCACGTGCTCTCTGTGAACGGCGCTCTCAGCACCAGCAGCAGCATCGGGCACAAAGGAGTCAGTCGGGCAGGTTTACAGACCAGACCATTCATGCACAAGCTACCAGTTCAGGCCTTAACATTCCACTTGTATTTTCTGCCTGACCTGCAGAGGTGAGCAATCTTGTCAAAATGCCATTCCCCTATTGGCAGGAGAAACTGTGCTAACTGTACACATTCTAGCTCTCTAGGAAGACCTGGTTTAAATAAAATCCAGTGGTTGCCGGCTTTTTCACATTTTTAAGGGCAAAGCTACAGTAGGAAGGAATGTAGACAGGAGGCATAAACAGTGATATATTTGCTCAGAAATATTTCTAGGACTGCTTCCATTTTTTTAAGATTACTGCCACCCCCATCCTGACAGAAATAGGAAAGAAACAGCAATAACGTGTTAACTTAATTACCTTGATTTTCAGTTTGCTAATTAAATTATTTCATAATTATGAAAATATCATATAAATCACTACATATAGTTGGCAATTTTTCAAGAACTATAACAGATCATTGGCAGAAAATCATTTGAAAGCAGAGTTACCTAGAGCAGACAAGCACTGTTAGGTCAAGGAAAGTCCACAACAACCGCAGCACTAAGATCCTGCCACTGCCTGGAGGCTGGGAAACCTCTGTAAACAACAGAGTGCCATCCACAGGGAGCCGCTGAATGTCATGATGGAGAAGGGCAACGACTCCAAACAAAACAAAAGGAAAAACTAGTTCTGTTGCTGTCTGAATGAACTGAAGCTGAGAACAAAGAATGAGGTTTGCCTAGATGGGATCACAAAGATTCAGTTAATTTCTTAGTAAATAATAGAAGATAACATATTATCAATCTGTATTTTGTAAATATTTAGTTCCTGTGAAATGCAAAATACACTACCACCTATAACCACGTCCCACATGCGAGTCCAGGAGCCGGCCTGCATTATTACCTTAGTGCAAAGGAAGGTTCACAAACAACTTCTTTAAAAGTTCAGCTTTAATGACAAACATTTATTACATCAGTCTCTCTTCAAAATTAGATAGATGTGAATAAACAGTTTCAAACGGGAGGTGCTATGGTGCTACTTCAATACACCGCATTCAACGTGCTGGGCCCCTGGGGGTGCCCAGTAATGTACACGTTGAAGCAATAATGTAAGTCTGTGAGCCACTGCTCCTGAATGCCTCCACTCTTCAACGTCTGCAGAGAAAAACAAAAGTAATTTGAATTTGTACCACAACTGCTGTGCTATCTGACAGTATTATTCATACCCAAACAAGATCTCAGAGCCACTGCAACAGTATCCTCATCTGTAAATCACCACAGGAAATCTTATTGGAAAAGGGGACCTATTAATTGGGCATTACCACAGGCAGTGAAAATTCCCGGTTACAACCTCAAGTACAAGTGCTGCTGGTTTCTTGTTTGGTCTGTTCCCTCCCACATATGCTCGAGACTAAACAGAGTCCACCATCAACCATCCTACACTCCAGACTTCCTCCCCTTGGCATTCTGGTCTCAAGCTCGATCTACTCAGCACTCACATCAACTGAGAATAATTCTACAGGGCGCACTGACCATTTCTGTCATTCTCTTCGTTATGGAGGTGAACTGCTTCTCTAACCTCAGAATAACCCAAATTCTTGACTTTTCTTCCTTTCTACTGTTTCTGAATTATTATTACATATACCAATTAATAAACTCCCCAATCAAATACCTATACAAAAAAACCTAACTTTCCCAAACCAAAAACACTAAAAGGAGTCCAACAGAGCTACCCCCCACAAAACAGACATAGCTGAACACAGAGAACCAAACTCTAGACAAAGCTGAAGCCTGCGACTTCCTTCTTCCAACTTCCTCTTATTCTCCAGTGAATTAAGTGACTAGAAATTGGCCTGAAATTTATTCCTGCCAAATAATTTCCTTAATGACAGCTAGCATTTGTTGAGCACTTAATAAATGTCAGCTATACTAAAAACTTTACTTGGTTTATCTCATTTAATGGTCACCAAAACCCAAGGAAGTTGCTATTATTCCCATTTCTACAGCTAAAAAAAGAAGCTGAGGTTTTAAAGAGGTTTTAAACAAACCTTGCCAAACTATCACAGTTAATCAAGTCTGTACCAGAATCAGGTAGTAGTGACTCTGGTGCCTGTACCTTTTCCAACTAAGCTGTCTGCCACCTTAATTTAGTTTGAGTATTTTAAGGCTTTTATTACTGATTCTGGGATCAAAGACATCACCCTGGTTAACTGACAGTCAGGTACTAGACTGTAGGGGAAGCCCTGGGAAATCACCACACTGAGCTTAATTCCAGGAGTCAGTCAATGCACAGAAACCCTGGCCTCCCAAGAGCACCCTGCATGCCCTGCCCATGAATCCTTTCTAGTACTAATAGTACAAAACCCTTGTTCCATGCTCCTTACCATGATATTCTTGATGATCTGCTGCACCAAGATGGCATTGGTCAGCATATGAGTCCTGAGGGGTGCGTGCTGAAGCAGCAGGCGAAGGAGCTGGCCCACAACAGGCAGCTCCTCAGGCCCAGCTCTGTTCACGCGCAGGCTGTGCAGCAGCAGCCTGAGGACTCGAGGCAGGAGAGCCAGGACGGAGACACAGACCCCCCACAGCTTGTCCCTATAATAACGGAGACAGAAATGAGTCAGTGGGCCAACACATACAGGAAAAGTGCCCTTTCCATATTTCCCAAAACGGAAAATGTCCTTTTAATAAACATGGTGTTTCCTGATAAAACCCCATAACCCAAAACTAATAAGAACTGGGTTTCATCAGAGCTAAATAAGCAAATCCAATGAAGAATTAGCTGCTCTTCCCTACTTAATGGGTTCCAGGAAGCCCAGCAACCAGCATTTTCCCCAGCTTAACATTCAAGACATTCTTTTTTTTTTTTGTGAGGAAGATCAGCCCTGTGCTAACATCTGCCAATCCTTCTCTTTTTTTGCTGAGGAAGACTGGCCCTGGGCTAACATCCGTGCCTCATCTTCCTCCACTTTACATGGGATGCCGCCACAGCATGGCTGCCAAGCGGTGCGTCGGTGCACGCCCGGGATCCGAACCAGCGAACCCCAGGCTGCCGCAGCGGAGCGCGTGCACTTAACCGCTTGCACCACCGGGCCGGCCCCCATTCAAGACATTCTTGAAGCCCTAGTGATCATATATAACAGAATTAGCCAGAGAACAGAATGATCTACACATGCATACTGTTACCTACCACTGAACCTTATTCAACTGTCTATTATATAACACCAAATATCAAAAGAAATAGAATATCCCACTAATAAAAAGGGAAGGAAAGAACTTCACAAAACTCTAAAGTAGTTTCACCTATGACCTGGATTCTAAGCCTCTTCAATGTTTTAGAACACGGCAGATTTGCAGAGAAGTAGTACTGTAAAGGAACTAAAAAGGATTTCAGAAAGTAGCCACTAAGGGGACTACTGCTGCACTACTAGGTCATAGAAGGCCAGAGATGATAAATCCAAATTTCAGTAAACATCATTCTCTTGGTATCTTTATAGAGCAGGAACAAAAATGTTTTATGATAGAGATAAGTGGAGTGGCAGATACCATAACCACATTCCAGAAGAGTGTCAATGAAATGGAGCAATATCCTTTTGGAGGAAGAGTGCACTGGCTGCTAACAGCTCTGATCTTAGTCTGTTACAGTTCATGTACCAGGAGTGCATAATCCTCCCAATCCCCAAATCTTCCTAAGAAAACCTGACTACCTCCAGCTGTAGAAAGAGCAGCCCCTTCACCAGCTGATGAGCCTCCTCAACTTCACATACAGCAAGTGCATCAAAGGTGGACACTGAATTCATTCTAAGCCAACTAGATCCTCTTGTTTGAAGAGACTTTATTCAGCCTGACTCACACACAGTCAGGCTAGGACAGCCATGGGCAAGGAGAAAAGAGAAAGCCAAGACTATAGACATAGCTAATAAGGCAAAGGCACAGAGATAAAGACTACACAATCCAGAAGAAAAAGAAAAAAATAGAGAAAGCTACTTTGGTTCCGGCTGGCTTTCAAACTCCTACTTCCACCATTCCTATTCCTTGGGTTTTATGAGTTACTCCTGTAATGGTCCAATATATTCATTTTCTACTTTAACTTGACTGGATTTCAAATAATCGCTGATTGAAACTGTGCTCAAAGGACTTAGGGATTCTATATCATGCCAAATATAAGTATAGTGAATAGATGAATAAAGTTTAGGATTCCACGTTCACACACCACAATTAAAGAAAACTGTCAAGCCAAAGAAAAATACAAGAGACCTGGGGTACCACAAGTGATGGGAGAAATACCATATGAACAGCCATTCTCAGGGTTTTCTAAGAGTTGTCATGTACAAGAATAATTTTACTTATTCTATAAAGTGTTCAAAGGACAGAACTGGGAGCAATGAAGCTTAGGTTTCAGCTCAAGATAAAGCAATGGTTCTAAACCACTGTACAAAAACTGAAGAAAGTTCAACATCTTGCATAAAACTTGCAGTTCAGCTAACTCTGTAAACTTCTGATATGTTCTGGTCAGATAATAGCAACCTCCTCTTTTACTCCAAACAGAGGAATACAGATAAAATACTTTTTAAAATAATACACGGGGCCAGCCTGGTGGTGTAGTGGTTAAGTTTGCAGGCTCTGCTTCAGGGGTTCATGGGTTCAGATCCTGGGCGTGGACCTACACACTGCTCATCGAGCCATGCTGTGGCAGTGTCCCCCATACAAAACAGGAAGATGGGCACAGATGTTAGCTCAGCAACAATCTTCCTCAAGCAAAAAGAGGAAGATTGGAAACAGATGGTAGCTCAGGGCCAGTCTTCCTCACCAAAAATAATTAATTAATTAAAAAATACACAGCTAAGCTCAAAAGCCAGAAGAATGGCTGAAATCTCTAGGTGCCAGAAATTATGACAGAACTCATATAAAGATTCCCAACAGGGGTAGAGAACTGGTTGTGGGATTTTAGGGCTGGGTTTTCAACAGCTAACAGTGTTGGAAGCTGAGGCTTCAGGCCCCAGGTGTGGGAGGCAGGAAGCTAGAACTCAGCTCCCTACCTACAGCTGGAAGCCAGGAAAATGCAAATGTGAAACTGTCCCATAATGAGGTCTCCACAACCTCCACAGAACTCTTATAAATAAAAGATGAGAGGCACCCAGAGTACAGATACACAGCCCAAAACACGAGTTTATTCCACTCCATGAAAGACGATCTCCAGAGCCCACCTGCTCCCCCAAAATAAGAGAGAATTCCCACCAGAGAAAAAACAAACATACAGAACAAACTGACAGGAACTTTAAAGTAACACCAATAAATCGAGCACCAGCAAGAATGACAAAGAGCCAAATAAAACCCCAAAATAGATCAAAAGAAACAAAACAATAACTGATAAAATAAAAACTCAATAGGAGGGTTAAATAAAAGAATTAGCAAAGTGGAAGACGTTAAGAGAGGACAGAATGAGAAGCTCCCTATGTTTAAAAAGAGTTTTTAAAATAAGGAAAGAATAGAAACAATGGTGGAGATAATAGAAATAATAACAGTACTTCCCAGGCCTGAAGAAAAAAGTGAGTCTTCAGATTAAAGGAGCACACTAAGTCTCAAGCAGGATAAAGAACAACAAACCTACACTAGGACACATCTGATTTGCAACACAACAAAAATAAAGAGAAAACAGTAAAACCATAGAAAAGAATAGATTACTCCCTACAAACCAAGAGGGGTCAAACGGTAGATTTTTCATCACTAACAATGAGTTCGAAAGACAACAGAAGTTTCTCCAAAGTACAGAGGCCACAGTTTTGAACGACTCAAACTGGTCAAGCCTGACTTTTTTGGCCAGCACTTGTGAAATCAGAGGCTCCCAGCAATTTGACTGGCACTCTTATTATCTGTAATCTCACAAACACCTTCTCTAAAGGGGTAGGAGTACCCAAAAGGGAAATTTAAGTACCTAAAACTCTGGCTGCCAACACTTCCTTGTGACTAATGTCACCCCAAGAGATGCATAGGGTCTTGGTAATATCAACGTTTCCAATACCCAGTTTAAACAGGCAAAAAGTATTACATACACCAAATTTTGTTCAGTCCACCCAGATAAAGCAAGATGTTCCTAAGAAACTACAAAGTTCTTTGAAACTTCTCATCAAAGCATTTAATAAAAGGGCTATATTTCAAGTGACAGGAAATGACAAAAAGCAATATACACATTTCATAAATGGGAATTGCTTATTATAAAATTTTTAGAACCCTGAGAAGTTTGTTGCTATTTTATAAAGCCTTTTCTTGATCTATCAGACCTAAAGTTTGATGATGTACAAGAAAAATACCATCAAATCTGTTTATGCGTAAATTTTATAGCATTTTTACAGTGAAATCTACAAAGTTTTAAATATACACACACACCAACACACTTAGCAGAAAAAATCCAAATGTCTGTTGACAGTAAAATGGATATATTATGGTACGTTCATATAACAGAACACTACAGAGCAAGGGTACTATACCACAGCCAATCCAGCTCACAGCCTGTATTTGTAAAGTTTTACTGGAACACAGCCACACCGATTCATTTATGTGTTATCTGTTGCTGCTTTCACACCAAGGCAATGTTGAGTAGTTCTGACAAGAGACTTTATGGCCCTAAAAACCTCAAATATTTACTATCTGACTCTTAACACAAGGCAGTTTGCTGACCCCTGGTATAGAGAAACAAAAATGAATGTAATATATTTTTGAATCAACATGAATTACTCTCACAATGACGAGAATCAAATCACAAAAAATGCACACAGTATGATTCCTTTTATATAAAATTCTTAAAATATGCAAAGCAAAAACGATACTGTTTACAAATGCACATAAAATTTTTTAATAAAAAGGCAAGGAAGTGATTAACACAAAAGTGATCTCCGGGGGCGGGTATAGAAGAGACATGTAACTGTGGATGGTACATGGAGCATGTGTGCTGACGATGTTCTATTTATTTCTGAACCTGGAGGTGGAGTAAATGGATGTTCAGTTTATACTTACTCTTTAAACTATATAAATGTTTTATACAATCATATGTATGATAAATTTTTATGACATTTAAACAAGTTCAGAAAAGACTAGAAAGGCAAACATCAAAATGTTCACAACAGGTAATAGAATGATTTTTATTTTCTATTTGCTCATCTGTTAAATTTTTAAAAACCTTCTGCAATGAATTTTAACACGCGTACCAATCAGAACATAAGCATAAGAACACGTTTTTTTAAAATTAAAGTGAAATCTCCCAAACTATCTAGAAGCTTTAGTCTGTATATTACATAGGAGCAAAAGTAATGACTAATTTAAAAACGCGAGCATCTTAGAACAATTTCCTTAAATCCAAGAGTATAAAATCCCACTCTGGCTAGTTCTAATGAAGCCCAAAACAAAATACAAAGGCTTGTACTAATAAGCCCATCCTTCTAAAGGCAGAATTTTTTTCTTGCTAGACCTAGAGCATTATTAATAAGGAAAGCTCTCAAGAAACTTTATAATGCCATCTAACTTTTCAAATTTGTAGCTTAAAGGAAAACACAAGAACTAAGAATTCTCACAATACAAAGGGGATTCATGAAAGAACAAAGAAAAAGCTAGCTAGGTTTACACAAACTCTGAAAGAGAATTTAAGATATTTCCAAAATCTAATTCTCTTTCACTCTCTTTTTTCTAATTGATTGATTCATTGATTGGGGGAGGGGGGAGTGGTACAGGTGGGAAAAAAATTGAAGTTGAAGAATACAAATACTATTACCTCTTTCTTAGATGTTCTGCTTCTCCTTTCTCTAAAGTGAGCAAAAAATAAAGAAGACTGTAGCAACACGAAGCCAGAAACGGCAGTAGAGTCTCACTCAGTACACATGTATGATCCAGGAGCTTACAGATAACACCCAGAACACAGCCAGCCGTGCTGTCAGGAATCACAGTCAGCCCAACCTAGGCAGAGAAAAACAAGACTGATGACCTCTTCACAGCAGTTGCTCTCCCCACGATAAAACCAAACACCACTACCTGGAGAGCTAACCTTACATCACTCCTACTGAAAACTAGTTGATACATAATACATGCCGCCTGCCACACCTTAAGGTCCTGTTTTCCTTTGAGAATTTAATCTCTACGTTAAATGACTGAAAACATGCAAACTCAAGTAATACTAATAACCCAATCCACTGCCTCCCCTTCATGACAAAGTCTTCTAAAATTTTCTAGACGTTACAATTTCTACTGAGGGTTAGAAACACCATTATTTTAAAAGATTATTTCATGCAGCCAAAGAAAATCTTGATACCAACATCCACACTTATATGATCTTTAGATTGTTCAGACTAGAAAACTCCAATACCTGGCACACCTCCCCATCCCAGGTAATTAAATGTACAAACCAGAGTTCATTTTACAATTAGCCTTCCCCTGCCCTTTGACTTAGCTAGTCATTCAGACATGACTAAGGAAAATACCTGTACTGGAGTCAGTAAGATAGTACTATACTTAACACTTGACTGCTTCACTGTCCCAAAACCCAGCTAAGGGACATCATGGCATGCTATTTCATCTGGACTATACTATATAAACCGTCATTAAGGTGGACTCTAACCTGTAACTGTACAAATGCATGGTTTGAATCTCTTGGAAACTACTGTAGAATAATCCTAAAAAAGCCTGCAGGTGCTGAGGTCTTAACCTTTCCATCAGGCTGTCTGAAAATAGTGGCCAAGACTGACTGGCCTATTGGTCTTCTATTAGAATAATGAATATAGTCAAAGGAGGGCATAAATTTCTGGAGTGGAGGTTACAAAAAAAAAAAAAAAAGTGGGGATCTTTGGAGGCACAAGTCATAAGGATTGGAAGTTTGAGAGCAGGGAGAAAAAAGCACTGGGAATTCAAAGCGGTACTCTTCCAACTTAAGGGAAATAACATTTTGAAAAAGAAAAGGGGGTATAGATATGCCTATAAAATTATCCAAACAGATGAGAGTCCCTGGAAGATAAAGTTTGGGATCCCTTCCTTGCACTATAATAAATTATTATAATAAAAAGCCAAAGGTCAAAGTGTAAATGTTGGAAGAAGTTAAAAGCAAAACCCCAGGCATACCTAATGTGAATTTAATACCAAAGGAACGAGAGACTGGCCAGAAGACAAGTCAGACTCACGGCTGAGCTCACCACTTCCAGTGATCAGGCCTTGAGTCTGCTGGTGACATCCCAACTTTAGACCCCAAATCTCTAGGTGGAAATGAGACCCCAGTCTGGATGCTGGATTCCTAATACTCTGACACCAGACACATGTTAATTAAAGCATTACAAAACAGAAGGACCTGAGGTATAATTGTAAGGTCCTTATTGCACAAATGTAGAAAGTAAGGTCCTGGGGAAAGAGGGGATCTTCCCAAGGTCACAGAATTAAATAGTAATGGCCAGGAAAATCACTAAGATTTCTCGGTTCTTGCCACAGCATCAAGCTGTGAGAAGCATGGAATTTATTAAGCTTAGAATTCTGGACACTCACTCTCTCCTTGGCTATGGCAAACCGAATCTTAACCAATGAATCTCTATGCTTTTTTGTGTAACAGAAAAAAAATTTTAAGTTTATTTACCAAATGCTTACTGATGGCACTTTGCAGGATGTCAAAGCTCTGGCTTCGGGCAGGGATAACCAATAAGCTGTGACAAACTGTCTGTCAGAAAAGGAGAAAACCAGTAACCAAATTGGGACATTTTAAGTCAGAAACAAGTTCAGTATTTTTTTTAACCTACTTGCGCTACATACTAACAGGAAACTTAACAAAAAATGACTTTAAAGATGCAAATGTCAAAGGTCAAAACAATCAAGCCTCATCTGTGGGCTAATTTTCCAAATAATTCATTTATAAAACATTTCCTGAGCACTGAGCTAGTCCTATTAGGTGCCATGCCCAGGAATGAAATAATGAGAAACTCTTCCTTCTCACAGCCCTCAAGTAGCTTAGAATCTACCAAGGCAGAGACTGTATTTCTATTAAGTGAGTGCTACAACAGAAAGATCTGAATGATGTGAACAAAGGGCTGACAAAAGCCTTTTTCCATTTGGTGGAAAAACATAGAAAAATACTTATGATCCAGAAAATACTAATCCCTCCCTGTTCGAATTGATTGTAACACTGTCTCCTATTCCCCAAAGGTAAAAGGAAGAGTACAGTTTATGGGAAAAGAAGAAAAATATGAGGGAGGTGGGAATCAAATCCCTAATATTTTTAATTTTCTAAGTTCTCAAGAAAACAAGAAGAGGGAAGGACAGCATCAAGTCCTTCAGAGACATCATAACATAATTCCAGAAGCTGATGGAGTATGGTGCCAATAATGAAATATGCAGAAAAATCACGTGGAGAGACAAAGATGAGACTGGTGGAAAGAAGAGTATCACTCTAGGAAGAGGACAGGCAAGCTAAATTCAAGAGAACTGTCAATCAACCCTCAAAAATCAACAGCTCTATGCATAATTTCTCTATAAAACCTCTTGCAGACTGATACCACCCAGAGTTTTCACATGGCAATTTTTCTTTTATACCTGTAAGAAACAATGTAAACAACATATTTCCAATGCCATCTTCCTACTTCAAAATGAGCAGTGCGTATTTTCATTAATAAAAGGTAAATCACATCTGAAAACGCCTATTCAATAATAAATGACCACTTAATCCCTTCCTTTTTCTCTCCCCTTCCTTTCCTGGACAATTCAGTTGTAAAGCCAATGGGTGGGGCCGAGCTAGGTAAACATCAGGACTGGAGTGGAGAGCTGCAGTGGCCGAGAGCAGGCTATCCATGAGTAAACAGAGGCAGACTGTCCCCAAGAGTTGGAGTTCAAATGGAGTGAGGAAGATGCCTGCGTAGGCAAGGGACGGCACCAGAAGGAGATTGATTATAGACAGAGTAAATATATTAAGTATAATGGAAGCAAAATTTCTCACCATCAGAAAAAGCAGGAACAAGAGAAAAGGAGACAACTAGAATGAACCCTGTGGTGTTGAATTCTTGATTTCTGTCCACAGAGAGAGTCTGGGAGCAGCAACTTGAATAGCAATGACCACACCCAGGGTCCAGAAGTTGGTTTCTAAATACCATTCTCCACTTAAACAAAAACTGGGCTTCTTAAAGAAATACCTGATTGCAGGGCTGGGACAGGGAAAATAAAATATGAATCTGGAACAATCTGTGCTACAACAAAGTAAGGAAGTACTCAGAGAAAAATGAGGACATGTTAAAAGAACAAAGAAGCCTGCTTCAAGGGAGTGTCAATGACAAATATGAGAGCATCAAAATTAATGGCATTTTAACCCACTGAATAAAACATGAAACCGTACTAACACAAATAAATAAATGAAAAAATTGGAAGACTAAAAAAGGAATGGGATATTTACATTGTTTCCAAGTATCTCCTCATAAAATATTATTAATTACAAAGGGGAAAAAGTAAACAGTGGAGAAGGTGGGCAGACACCACTTAAGTGATCAAAGTAAACATCTCATGGGACAAATCAGAACCATGCACCTGACAGGATGCAATCAGAAACCACAGCATCACTTGTGACATATTCCTGCAAAATTTGTGTAACGTGAATCTAACCATGAAGAAACATAAATCAAACTCAAATTAAGGAAAATCTAACAAAATAACTGTCCTGTGTTCTTCAAAAGTGTCAAGATCAACGAAAGACAAGGAAAGACTGAGGAATGATTCCAAACTGAAGGAGACTAAACAGACATTACAAGTAAATGCAATGAATGATTTCAGTTGGATCTTTTTGCTATAAAGGACATTACTGGGACAACTATTAGATGACAGTAATATACTAATAATAATTCCCTGATTTTGATGACTATATTGTGTTTATGTAATAGAATATCTTGTTTGTAATACATATACACTAAAGTATGGGCTACGGGCATTATGTCAAATAGTCTAAGAAAACAAACGTTCTTTGTACTGTAGCTGTAATTTTTCTCTAAGTTTGACATTGTTTCAAGATAAAAGTAAACAAATATTAATATAAATACACGTATATGTAACACACAAACATACACATATATACCAGGCGTCCTCACTTTTGCACATTACTACGTTAACAGAAACTTGCACATATCAGAACCCTGGCCTCGCACTGCACAGTTCCAGAACAGGCATGCTAATTTGGTCCAATGTGGAAATTAAGGTGTTTTTTTTTGTGAAGAAGATCAGCCCTGTGCCAACCTCGGTGCCCATCTTCCTCTATTTTATATGGGACGCCACCACAGCATGGCTTGCCAAGCAGTGCATCGGTGCGCGCCCGGGATCCAAACCGGCGAACCCTGGGCCGCCGCAGCAGACTGCACGCACTTAACCGCTTGCGCCACCGGGCGGGCCCCAAGGTTTTTTTTTTAAATAAACAACGACTTCTTTATTTTTCTTAAGAAGGTTTTGTACATTTAATTTCTAGGTTGAAGTATTTTCTATTTAATTTTATCAGAATATATACAGAAATGTCATGCACCTAACACTTTTTATGGTCATTTTATTGCTGTATTGAAAGGTTAAAAAGAACAGGTAAAAGAAAGAAATTTTTTTATTATTAAAACACTAAAATTCAGATTTAGAGATGCTTTCATTTACCAATAAAATTACAACAAAGAATGTATTTACAGAATGAAAATTTCCATATACTCACACTACAAAACAGAGCTAAATGTTCTAAGAAAATGTCAGCAAATGTACCTTTGGCAGATTACATTTTACCCTTCCCCTGTTGGCACTCTCTCAACTATTATCAAGCAATAATAAAAAAGGTAAGAAAGACACAGACAGACAGCCTGCTTCTCTTTTAGGACTCTTTCCTTACCCTACTAGTCCTTTGAGTACATTGGGGGGCGGGGTGGTGACGTGACACAATCCACTTGACCAAAGCTGCCTTCACAATCCACCCAAGGGTCCCCTAGTCCTAGAAAGCACGTTTCTTCAGGGTCCTTTTGTGCCCCACTTGCTTCTTCCTATCATCCCAACTGCATGATTACCACAGCTTTATAATAGATACCTGGTAGTGTAAATCCTCTAGCTTCATTTTTACTCAACACTGTCTTGTTACTCTTGGTCCTCTACATTTCAATATAAATTTTAGAATCACCTTTTCAATTTCCACAAAAACATCTACTCTGATTTTGATTACACTGAATCTATGCTATAGTTTAACTGAAGGAGAGCTATCATTTTTGCAATATTGGAGTCTCCCAATCCATGAACATTATGTATCTCTGCATGTATTTAGGTCATCTTTAATATCTCTCAGTAATGTTTCATAGTTTTCAGTGTCTTCAGAGGTCCTCAACAATTCTCTGGTGAAATTCTCCTTTAATTTATATTCATGGTTTGTGTGTGTGTGTCCCTATTACTCTCATATATAGCCCTCAAAGATCTGCAATGAGAGTCTCCAATTTTCTCAGTTCAGGCCTATAAGATAGTCAAAAGGTTGGCAGGATTCTCTGTGCTCTGATAGAAGCCATTTGACAAATGCTTAACCTCTTGCCTGAGAGACAGCTCCAGTCTCCTCAGGTATGTTGGTATGTTGCTGAATACAAGGCTGTGCATGCACGAGGTGAAAGTCCATGAGGCCAAAGAACAAGCAGGAGCTGTGAGCAAAACAATTTCCAAAGCTCAAACAGGGCAGAGAGATGTCCGAGTTCTAAGCAGCTAGAATGGAGAGTCTTCACAGAACACCCAGGTCATCCAGATGATACTCAGAAAGAGTACATATTAATAGCAAGGATAAATTAGCACTGGGGCAGGAGTCGGCTAACTTTTTCTGCGAAGGACCAAACAGTAAATATTTTGGACTTTGCAGGCCACATACAGATTCTGTTACATATTCTTGTTTGTTTTGTTTTGTTTTGGTTTAACAACTGTTAAAAAAAAATGTAAACACTACTCTTAGCTCAAGAGTGGTACAAAAACAGGGCCAACCTGGATTTGGCCTACAGGCTGTCATTTGCTGACCCTTGACTTAGCAAACGCTACTTGCTCTAATAACCCACCCCAACAAAACTTAAAAACAAGTCTCAAAAGGATAAAGCTGATACTCAAGTAACTTGACTGAAGAACCTGACTGCCTGCCAGAACAAAGCAAAACACTCTTTAAAGGAAGACGACAAAATCTACCACCTAAAATTTCCATTGTCTAATATCCACTCAAAAATACTCGACATGGCAAGAAGCATGAAAATGTGCCACATGACCAGGAGAAAAATCAATCAACATATCTTACAGAGAAGACAGAATTGGCAGACAAGAACTCTAAAACAACTGCTATAAATATGTTCAAGTAGTTAAAGACAAGTGAATACAAGCAGAGACATAGAAGATATACAAAAAAAAGTTCCTGAGATAAAAAATACATTATCTAAAATTTAAAATTCATTGGTTGGTCTTTGTTCACAGATGACATGATCACCTATGTAAAAAATCTGAAACAACTGACAAAAAACCCACCTGGAACTACTAAGCATTTATAGCAAGGTTGCAGGATACAATGTTACTATACAAAAGTCAATCACTTTCCTATATACCAGCAATGAACAAATGAAATTTGAGATACCATTTACACTAGCACCCTCAAAAAAGAAATACATGGGTATAAATATAATAAAATATGTACAAGATCTGTATGATGAAAAC